ACACACACACACACACACACACACACATACACATACATGCACACATTCACACAATATATTCCGTCTTATCATATCAATTTATTTTAAGCAAAGATAATTTTCATGAATAATGAATAAACAATTAAAGTATGAATTCGAATTCGAACAGAATCCAGAATCGGATAAATAGTATTAGCTTTAAAATCCATGCATTAAATTGAAATCTGCAAGTTAGTAGTACTATCTTTTATCATTTGCCTCTCTAGTGTTCAGGACTTTCAATGCATGAATTTTGGTATCTGATAATATTTGGGTCTCTATTAAGGATATGAGATTTAATATTTTATCATCCAGTAGAGAGAGAGTGAATAGTTTTAAAAAATAAAACATCTTTCATTTTTGCAACTTAAGCAGTTATAATTATTTCAACTCCACTTTTACGTTATTGTTCATATTTTCATTAACATTTTCATTAATTTCATATGATCCGTTTTGTCAGTACAGTTGTTATCATCATTTGCGTATTGCTTTTTTTTTTTCGCCTATCGAATGATTCAAAATTAAGTTAACATGGGAAAGCTCACATTGCATATTTTTACCATCTCTGATAAATTAACTTAAAAATCAATTGTAATATTATCGGTATTCATTAAATTTTTAATCAAACATTTCTTCTAAACTAAAATATATTATCAAATCAAATTTTAACTGAATACTTGTTGTACTTTTCATAATTTCTGAAAATTTTATACGTTATGCAAACTTTATGTACATGATATCATATACAAATGAATTAATTTTTATGTGGAAAAAATGTGAAATTATAAAAATTCCGGATTGGGATCTCTATGATTTTTCAATCCATTACAAATCATTTTTTAAAAGATTAAAAAAAAGTAATTTGATTTATGAATGCAATGCTATCTGCATTATTTCCTTTTGTTTTTCCTTCTACTGTTTAGCCTTAGGCTTTGTTGCAAATATATGTATGCAATAATACTTTGTCAACTTAAATTAACATGAAATTTTGGAAAAGATATTTGCATTTGCTCATTTTGAACAAATTTCTTGTAATTTCTCTCTGTCTCCCTCTTTCTCCCTTCATCTCTCTTCTCTCCTAATTTTGTGAAAATCTGATGGAAGTAGCCATGTTATTGTCAATGAAATAAGATCCTGTAAAGCATTTTGATTGCAAATATTAAAAGCAGAAATAATGGGAAGGAATTTAAATTAATAGTAGTAGCAGTAGCTAAATCATCGATAATAGTCTCTTTGAGATTTAAAGTAAGAATACTTCTTGCTCAATAATTTTGCTTGATAATTATACCTTATCTTTATCTATATCTGCAGCTGTTTTTGCACAGGATTGAAAGGTAACTATGATGCTAAAAAACTATAAAAATGTAAGTCATCTTTGATAAAAGATTAAAATAATTATAATTTCTATAAAATAGCATACCTGTACATCACCAGGTATTTCGGCTACAAGCATTCGCGCAGTTTGATGAACCGTTCTTTCAGCAACTACATCGACAACACGAAGCATCAACAATGTTACGTGACTGTATAGCATAGTTCATGCGTTTCAATTTTCATTATTCAAAAAATATTTGAAATTTTTTAAAAAATTCACTAAGTTATTTGTTGCGGATTCAAAAATACCAGAAGATTCGCATAAAATTTTGCATGAAATTTAATATCATAATTTATGATAGTAATGATAACAGAACTATTAGTTACAGTAGAAATTATATAATCAGTGATATCAAAAGTAATTATAGTAATGATATCAGGTAGTAGTAGTCATATGAACCAATATTATTGGTTGTAGTGTAATTCAGCTTTAGCACCTTTCATTCTGTTATTAGTGGCAAAAAAGTTGGTATTACTGAAATTACAGTAATAATAGTTGAAGTAGGAATAATAGTAGTAACAACAGTAATAGCATCAGCAATTTTTTCTTTCTTTTTTTGCTTTAAAATGATATTACTGTTGCAACAGATCAATTAATTAATTTCATTTAAAATTTCGCCAATGTAATAATAAAAATTTATTATACATTTTTATAACTGGCACAAATGCTATCGAAAAGTACGACACAAACAGATCCTCCTCCATATCTTTCCATAAAAAACCGTTAATTTTCATAAGAAAAAAAATATTTATTTCTTGAAATATTATCCTGACTTATTAGAATAGAAAATTTCAATCGAATATTGAAATTTCAGTTAGTGATGTTTAATGATGATGATAAAGAAACATTCTTTAAGCCGCTATTGAGGATAACGCCTAATATGTAGTATAAATTTTTTTTCTTCTCTCTTTCTTCTCCCTCCTCCTTCTCCTCCTCCTCCTTCTTTTCCTTCTTTTCCTTTTCTTCCTGTTCCTCCCATTTCTTCTGCACCTCTTTTCTCCTTCCCTCTATCATTATCATTTCTTATCTCTTTTTAACTTTTTCAATTTTCCTCTTTAATTCTTCCTACTATTATTATTATCTTTCCAAAATTTTTGCATCATTATTCTATATTTTATTATATATCAAGTGGTTTTAGCTTTTTTAAATCTATCCGATTTTTCCCGGTTTTGAGCTGTGATACAATCCTTCAAAAGCTATCATCAAATCTATAGCATTCCGACAATAAATTTACTTTATTTTAATTTTGTAAGAAGTTCTATTCTCCAAGACTGTATTTCATCACCATTGGCACAATAGTTCTCCCATAATACCTAGCAATTGTGAACCATTGAATCTGATTACAGTTAAATTTGGCAGACGAATTAAGCAATAAGTTAACAAAATTAAAATGATTGATTAGCGAAATTCCCATTATGATCTTCCGCAGGATATACTATAAAATAAATGAATCCGCTCAATTACGAGATTGTATCCGTAGTAATTTTAAAAAAAAAAGCATGCGAATTCAAAAAATAATAATTTCTCTCTTCTGCATTGAAGGATGAACTAAAAATTATAAGGATAAATTTTATTAAAGGAATTTTAAGAGCTTACTTGAATCTCTCTCTCTCTTTCTTGAAAAGAAAAAAACAAAAATTAAATCTCTCCAAAATGGCGCAGTATTTATAATTGAAAAAGAACTTGAAAATATTTGACAATATGGTAAACATTCTCAATTTCGATGTTTAAAATAATCGTTCATAATGTAATGAATTTTATTTCCATTTTCATCCCTCATTCTCTTTCCTTCCTACTTTTTTTTTCTTTTCTTCCTATCAACTTCCACAATTTAACCAAACTGAAAAAAATAAAATAAAATACAAAAAAAAAGAAATACAAAAATTTTCACAATGCATTGAATTGTGCACGAAAAAAGAAAAATGTCACGTGTCTTCTCTTTTTTTAGGGGAAAAATTGATCTGATTTAGAGATAATTTATATTGTAAAGTTTTAGAAGAAAAATGTAAAAACATAAAGAAATAATAAAAGCAAATTTAAGCATTCTTTAAAAATACGAAGAAAAGCTCGAGATATTTGGTTGTGTAATGCACTACTTGTCTTGTCATCCTCATGTTATTACATGCTGAATTGAGTACTGGCTAATTATCCCAGGGGACATTTATAAATTCAAACTCTCTAACCATCATTTATCTCAATCCATTATTTGGCTTGTCAATTGTGAAAAGCAATATATAATAAAAAAATATAATAGGAAAATGAGTTGTTTTGGAGTTTAAAAAAATTAAACAACTAATTTCCTATATGCTATTAATTTTAAAAGAAAAAAAAGGTTAAATACATTCATTATTGACCAATTTTATGATCGTTTTAAACATGAACTAATTTATAAACCATAAATATAGTAATTAATTATTTTCTATTAGTGATATGAATATAGTTATTTTTAACTTATTTAAATGGTAGCCATGGATAATTTTACCAGTAAAATAAATGAAATTAAAATGAGAAATTTAATAATTTGCGTATAAAAGACATTAAGCTAACTGTTAGAGATAGACTTTGGATTAAATGCATACATTATTTTAATTTCTTGTGCAGTTTTTAAGAAATTTCTTATTCTTTATCAATTTAAATTTCACTTCCTTTTTTTGATTCAAAATTATTCACAAGTTTAGTGAGTACAAAATTATTTCTGAAATTTTGCCTTAAATTTATTAAAATTTTATATGAAAAAATACAATAAACTTAATTTTAAGAAAGCTGCAAATCTGTTTGAATGAAGAATTTTAAAAAAACAAGAAAAATTTAGGGAAATTTTT